TGGTTGCTGGGAATTGAACTCAGGACCTCTGGAAGAACTAACTGCCAGTGCTCTTAACCTCTGAGCCATCTCTCCAGCCCTAAACTTTTCTTTTTTAAATGTGGCTACTCAACAATTGAACATTACACTTGGTTCTTTTTTTTTTAAATCAGGCAGTAATTTGGTCTATATGTTCTAAACAGTGTCTCATTTCATTTATCAATATGAGCTGTAGTGGGAGTACAATAAAAGCCCTTTAAAACAGTATTCAAAATCCTAGTTTATCCATTTCCTTTTTTTCTTTCCTTTTTTTTCTTTTCTTCCTTCCTTCCTTTCTTTTTTTTTTTTTCTAAGAAACACTCTCTTAAGGCAGATATTGGTGGCATGGGACTATAACCCCACTAATTCAGAGGATGAAGTAGGAGGATGTAGAATTTAAGGTCATTATTGGCTACCATAGTGAGTTCAAGGTCATCCTAGGCTACAGAAGACTCTCTCTCTCTCTCTGAATAAAATAAAATAAAAAATTTTAAGTAATACTTTCTTCCTAAATTGGAGGTTGAAATAGATGAAGAGATAAGTACACTTACCCACTTAATTTAACTTCTATAGTAAGTACTCCATATCATAGGGGTGACCATCTAAATCCATATGTACAGTGACATGTTCTGTAGGACCACTGATTAGATGACCGTGGACACCTGACTCAGATAAGCCAATAAGAGAAATCCCTCCCCCAATTGGAAGTGGTAATCGGAGCTAGAATTAGTCTTTGAGCTGGGCTAAACCTATAGTGTGTCGATTTGGGGACTCTGAGATAGTTGTGGAACAAAGAAGCAGCATTCTGAACAGACACAAGGAAAGACTGCAGAGAATCAGACACAAGCAAAGGAAAGTCTGCTATCTCTGCAACCTGGTACCCATGAGACCTGCACATGCCCAGGCCCTTTGCAGGGAACTATTCTAACAATGGGGTCTGCCTTCCCTTCCTTCCTCCTTTCCCATCCTTTTCTTTTTCTCTTCCCCTTCCTTTTCCTGGTTAAGCTTGAGTTTACTATTGTTAAAAAAAAAAAGGACCATGGGAGTCCTTATGAGTGGTACAAGATAGGCTTCTTCAACACTCAGAAACCTAGCATTTTCACTACAATTAAATGTTCTCTGGTAAGCAGTTTTTGAGAAAGTAGTATATGCATAGAGTCATCTAGAGAATGGAAAGGAATACAATAAGGCAAAGAGGCCACCCCTGCTCTTTCTGTAGTTAAGACAATAAACAAAGAAACCAACAACATAACCATGCCATCTGTGCATCGTGGCACACCTGTATAATAGCACTCAGCATTTGGGAGGCTGAGGCAGGAGGACTTGGGAGTTTGAGACCAGCCAAGTTATCATCATTATAATGATAATAATAATGATGACGATGATGACAACTGTCATGTGCACGCCACACATAAGACTCTTTTTTTAATGTCTTAATTATTCCTCACAACACTCTTGAGAAGAGCACATATCAGCGACACTTACAGCTGCCCTGTAAGTGATAGGCTGTTGTACCCAAAATGAATACCTTTTAGGGAAATTCCACAGAAATCAAGAGTTAATAAAATAAAAGACAACATTCCTTCAACATGCACAGTGTTCGTGCCGCTGACTACTATGTCTTCAGCATTAATCAAAACACTCAGCTCAAACTCTATGTGGTGTTAATTTCCTACAGTCTCATATTAAAGAGAGAAGAGAAAACACGATCTACAAGTGTAGGTAATGGCTTTGTGTGAAAACAAGACCTTAATCTACTCTTAAAAGAGCTGTTAGCTGGGCTGGAGAGATGGCTCAGAGGTTAAGAGCACTGGCTGCTCTTCCAGAGGTTCTGAGTTCAGTTCTCAACAACCACATGGTGGCTCACAACCATCTGTAATGAGATCTGTTGCCCTCTTTTGGCGGGCAGGGATACATGTAGACAGAACACTGTATACATAGTAAATAAATAAATAAATAAATAAATAGCTGTTAGCTAAGGTATGGTCAGTTCTAAAATAGCCACAATTCCACGGTAGGGTAAGTGGGCAGATTCAGTATAGCATAGGAGTTGAGATCACGTAGGACTTCAAGGGGCAGGGATTCATTGGGCTAGGGTAGTGAGTTGGTGTAGGGGGAAAATGGGTACTACAATGGCAAGGTTAGGATGAGGCAAGATTATGGGGATTCGAAGGTTTGGATCCCAGCCTTCAGCAAACTAGAACAATAAGATGGTTCTTGAACAGAAACATTCAGTACAAATAGATTAGGAGGTTCAAACGCTCAACTACAAACTCTTACAATCAAGACCTCATGGGATGTGCACAAGAAGAGACAGAAGCATTGCTGAGATTCAGATACTGTGCCTTGAGTTACAGGCACCCAGCCATCACATCACCTGGGACCTTAAGACGGTGACACGTGATTACACATCAGGGAATGTTCCTACTTCCCTTCCATGCATCCTTCCGTAAATGCCCACCACCCAGAAGCCACTGCAGGTGCAGAACAACAACAACATGTATGTGTAGCCTTCATTTTTGTCAAGTTTGTAGGCTAGGGGAAGATCATCAATCAAATAGTCCTGTAACCAATCAGGAAACTGTACTCTGTGCCCTTGTTGCAATAACGCCTTTTCCTGTTTCAGAAGATGAACGGGAAGTCATTCAGCATATGTGAAGGAGAGATAGATCCACAACTGCATAATCCTTTTTAAGTCTCTCTGTCAAACCAGGAACCAAAGTACCAACAATAAGTCCTGGGGTGGTGAAAAGAACACAGAGCCTCGGAGTGAACGTGTGCGTGCCCCAGGAACGCTACAGATAAAGACAGCTAGGAGGTTTACTGTCCCAGGAAGAATGGAGGTCCCCAATCAATCACTTCCCTCTTAGCTGTTCCTTTAAAAACTGCTTTAGGAACCAGGCCTAAACTCAGTGTGCCTGGCACAATCCTGGGTTTGATCCCCAGCACCCAAACGAACAAAAAAGGAAAAAGATGGAATAGTAGAGATTAGCTCCGGTAATAAGGGTCAGTAGTTATAAACTTTGATAAGGAGCGAGTTGTTCATGTGGGTTTAAAGTGTCCCCAAGACTGTTAATGATTACATGCACAGAAATCAGTTGAACATCTTCACCAGGTGAGAGGAACAAGTTGCCTTGTGGAAGATGGCCTACGTACACTGCACACTCTGGGAAGGGCCATCTGAACAGGCGTCATGAAGTGACACCATGGCTTAGAATACATGAAGTCCACAGAATCAGTAGGAACTCTCAATCACATTTAAAAGGGAACACTTTACCAAAGGGCAGGGGGTACATTGCCATAAAGACAAAAAAAAAAAAAAAAAAAAAAAAAAGGCTGAGGAACTTTTGAGGGGGACTTTAAGATAGGATCTGATGACTTCTTATTGTAGCTAGAACAAATTACCATGGAGCTGCTAGATAAGATCAAGTTTATTGTATAGTTCTTGAGGCCAGACATGTGGAATAAACCTTACTATAAAATTAAGTCACTCCTCATACTGAGGGAGAACTTTGCCCTGCCCTTTCCAGTTCCTATAGGCCACCCGCCAGGATTGCTGTAACTGCTGCATTCATCTTCAAAGCCAGCAGAAGAACTTCTGCAAATCTCCCTCTCTATCTCAGACACATCAGATTCCTTGAAAAAGGATGTAAGTGCATTGACTGGCCCCACCTGATAATAAAATCCTAACTGAACGACCTCTTGATAATCCAGGCTAATCCTCTCATCTCAAAATCTTAACTGAATTCCTTCTTCAAAGTTCCCATAGCCAGATAAATTAACTGGACTATGATATCTTTGAGGAATCACTACTGTTGATTCTAAAATCATGCTCCTGGAGAAATGGCTCAGCAGTTAAGAGATGTACTTCTCTCCCATGTCCCAAGTTCTGTCCTCAGCACCCATGTCTAGCAACACCTCTAGCCTCCATGGGCATCTGCCCTTGCGCGCGCGCACGCGCGCGCATGTGTGTGTGTGTGTGTGTGTGTGTGTGTGTGTGTGCCTATACACAATTTCAAATACTAAAAATAAATCTTTAAAAACATAAAATACAAATCATGATCATGGAATAGACCTTTGCCAGAGTAACAGAAATGAAAACACAAAAGGATGAAATTGAAAACAACCAATACATTAAAATATTTGCTAAATTTACTAGACTTGAAAAATACCTTGCTGATAGGCAAGATAATTATTCTCTACTTAAGAAAGACATACTAAATTATTTAGAAGTAAATGGCTGTGATATACACAATTTATTTGGAAAAAATAATTTAATATATATTTATAATAGAAAAAAGATTTGATAAAGCAAATGGATGTTGAAAAGAAATGTTGAACCTGGATTAGAGCATAGAGTGTTCTCTGAATATTCTTGCAATTGCTCTGTGGAACTAAAGGCATTTCCAAAGAAAACTGTGACTGTGTATATATAATTTGATCTAATTTAAAAATGATGAGGAATTTACTCCGGCACCTCCTGGTATATGGGCTGATACACACATTAGAACAAACACAGCTGTGTAACGACATTCAGCAACCCCATGTCCATTCTTTCTATAGTAACTCCTGGGTGAATGAAAGACCCAGCAGCGTACATTAAGGTGTTTCTAAGCTTAAGAAGTTGAAGGAAAAATCCTACCCATCTGGCAGTATTACAGTTGTGAGGATTTGGAATTGGTGACTACCTGTGGATTCAAATACCAACTGGATGGTCACAACCTGATGTTTCTGAGAGAGAATCTGCTAGGTTATTTTCTAAGAAGGCCCTTGAGTAAGGAAAGTAGACTTTCCTTTTCAGCACTGAGCTGGTTTTTACAATAAAAGTGAAAAATAAACTGTATCCTGCCCAGGGCCCGTGGCTGACTTTTATTGCTTTGGCCCCAGGGAATCTTTCTAGCACCAAGTCCCGTCCCACCCTCCATTGTTTAAACACAAAAGATTAGGCAGCTGGAGCTCTGACCACCAACAAATCACCACAGGCCACTCAACTGGGAAAGGCCTCTGGTCTTGGCAGAGGCGAGCACTTTAAAACGAAGGTAAAGGGTAAGACCCCAGTTTCTAGGCTAAGCCCTCCACACTGGCTTGTTTTCCTTGCCAACTGCGGTGGCCAAGAACAATGTTTCTCACTAGTTCCACAATAGCATGCCAAGACCGAATAATAGCAGGCTTCTCCCGATTGCAGAAACACGCACGAAATATGTGGCAATCGGTCGGCTTTATTTTTACAAGCCTGGCTCTAGCTATCACCAGCCCATACTGAAATTTATGATTTAGCACCATCTATGATTAGACCGGCACAAAATCATCTATTTAGTTATTTCCCGCTTAACGCTTGGCTTTGCAAAGAACAGCAGGGTTGCTTTGAGCAAGTCTGGCAACCGCCAGGCTCAAGGGGGCTGCCATCAAGAGCAGAGCGGGAAGGAGTCTTTATTACCTAGAAACTTCCTTATAACACTTGGCTCACCACCGGTAATTATTCACATCCCCATGTTCATAACCCAGTGTGAGGAGTCAGGATGGGTGGAGTGGGATGGGATGGAGGTGTGCTTTTTTTTAGGGCTGTCACGTTCAAACTGTAGAACCCTGGTCAAAAGAAGTCTGGACCATAAATCTCCTAAAGGCTTTTGTAAAATATGAGTAATAACAGTCTCCCTAATTTACAGGCTTTCGCTCACCTTTGTTGGGGGGCGGGGAGGAGAAAGTGACATCTGTCATTTCACAAATGAAAAAAATGTTACAAAAAGGCTTTGGACTCTTCTCTTGGTTTTTATTAAGACGTTTTCATTGTTTACTTCGTGTCGTGCTGCAGATGGAATTCCGGGACCTTACCTACACTAGACAAGTACCAGAATGCTAAGGCCAAAGTTTTTAACCTCGTAAGCACAGGTTCAGGTGTGTTCTTCACCAAACACTTGGTGACAACGTGATCGTTTGGTGACAACCGGATCAAATGTCTGCACTGATTGACTGTCAAGGTGCTCTAACTTTATGTCTCTATTGCAGAGACACCACCTCCTTCCCCACCCCCACCCCCGCCCCCACCACCTGAATTGACAGTCAATTGACCAGGCTCAAGGATAGCTGGTCCAGCATGAACAACCATGTTCTAGGAGGTTCTAAAAAACTTTCGGTAGTTCATGCTAAAATGTTCACCAAGTAAAATAACCTATAGCCACAGGCGGTCTCTGGAAATGAAAACCTTGTGTAGTACTGGAAAGGTGTTCTGAATAATGGAGTCCTATGCTTAAATTGGTAACCATTTTGATGGACTGATCCACAAGACCCAGAAACAACATGCGCATGCATCATCAACATGCGGTGAGTATTTGGTATAGGGAAAGATGGGGGTTGCAATGGAGAGGGCAGACCAAATGACTAAGTTTACTTCAGGATTACAGCAGCTACAGTGAATTAGCATGGACAGCATGCCTGTTGAAAACATGTGACTAAGTTGCAAGTTGGAACACACAGTGTAACAGCATTAATATTGTATCTTTTAGTATGGCAAACCTTGAGGTCTCATTAGTGTATAAAATGTAAGTGTTACTATGCATCTTTTTCAGTCTAGTTAACTCTAGTGGAGTTTGTCCATAGCCTAACATCCCAGAACTTACATCAAAACAGAAAAATCTAGCTCCTAATAACTTTTATCACTAAGAGACCATTCAGGGAGTAATAGAGATAGGGAAGCATGTATGAGGCTGAGTTATATTTTACCACTGGGGGTTAAATACACTGAAGCTGATACTGTGCAATGCCAATGTTTAATAATCTTCATGAAGAGGCTATACATACTTCACTTTTTTCGTATTTACAAATTCTGACACTATGTAATAGGGTTTTAGTGACAGAGTAGAATTTTTAATTATAACCACACACTTTTATTCAAAGATCTATTGCATGGCTAATAAACTCAGAAATAAAATATTCTATGTTCTTAAATAAAATAGAAATGAATATATATGAAAGACATTGTCAAGGAAAAAAAATTAATTAACATGACTTTACTTTCAAGTCCCTTTAAGAGATATCTAGGAGAAAAAGAGACATCAGTTGCTAAGTCTAAGCATGAAGATGGCCTGTTTCCTTTTAGCTTACAGGCCTAAAACACAAGCTGAAATGCTCAATTTTAATCTAGCAATGGCCTGAAGGAATTTTTTTTTTAATTGTATAAGTCAAAATCTACAGACATCATCTTCAAATCAAGACAAAGAGCAGAGAATTTCCTTAATGTGGACAATCCCATTTGCCCCATTAGCTACTAAATACAACTCAGAAATGTACAGATTACATACCAAAACATCCATCCCGGTGACATAGTTGAGTTCTATCATATAGTCATTTGGAAGATTTGCCACCTACAGAGACCAATAAATAAGTAAGTAAGTATGAAAGAATTCCTTGAGAAAATTCATACATTCCACCTGTCATATCATTTACATTCCATTCCCCCTTTGTTGTCCAAAACACAGTGGTGAAACAAAACTTTTGAATTCTAATCTGATCATGGGTCGCTAAGGATATACCATACCTGGTACCTACCCAATCACCCATGGCTAGTGAAGTCATGGGTTTTGGTGGCGAACCTACAACCATCACTATTAATTCTACCCAGTTTGGGAAAACCTAACGTGAACCTTCATTTCCAACTGTAGCCCTGGAATTCCCCTTGAGGACAATTTTCCAATTTGTTTCTACGTAAGGCTATTATGCCTTTCTCGTCAGTAATTCTCACGGCAGACAGGTCAGGAGGCAGAAGGAAACGGCTGTAAGTGCAAGTTCTCAGGTCTCAGCATATGGGCTG